CAAACCTCGAATTTACACAAAGTTTCAGTCGATTCCAATTACTTGACATGGTGTTGGCTCGTTTAAGTTATAAAAACAGTCTAAAGGATTAAGAAGCAAAAAGGAATGAAGGATATGATCACAAATAGGCTCAGCAGGAATGCAGAAAAGGGTAAAGCATGAAGTCAGTGCATGAGAAATGCGAACCCGCAACTAACCGGATCGACGTAGTAGAGGAATGCATTGTTGGGGTGATAATTGGGTTCGCTTTTCAATAACTTTTGCAGGCGATTTTTGGGAATTCGTGACAGCTAAAAGCACACAAGGAAGCCAGTGAACATACGGGAAAAAGAACGTTCGCGAAGGAGTTAGAGGCACTACGCATACGCATACACATACCCACACCCACACACACACACGGCGAGTGGTGCTTACCTCGCAAACTATCGCAGGTGAATTTGAAGTTTTGGTTGCACAACTTTCAATCGGTGTCAAAATCATGGGAGCAGAGTGATTTCTGGTCCTACGCTGGAAGAGTGGTCTAATCTGGCCGTCTAGAGAAGCTTTTGGTGACTCAGAAGGACTGCACTCAGAGTCGCTTGAAGATCTCTCTGCCTTTGAACGCTTCGGATCTTCATCAGCAGAGGAACCAGGAGAGCTGGGACTCTTGGATTCATCTCTTGAAGAGGAGAGATCTGAACGACTACGGCTAGTAGTGCTCCTTGACGCCCGCATTTTCAACAGAGAGCGTTTCGAAGCTGCTGTTCTACGTATCGCTGCCATGTGGTCATCAGATGGACGACCAGAGCTAACGTGGAGCTTGGGAGATGTCAGGGACTGCGACGAGTCTTCACCGATAAGTGTACCCGAGACGCCATGGGTTACTTCAACCATTTCGAATTCGAATAAAAGGTATGGAGCAACAGGAAATGTACAAATATTATAACATAAGAACTTGGTACAGAATAAGACGCTTCAACCGCACTTAAATTGAACGATAGGGAGACAACACTAGAAAAGGCAGAAGGAAGTCCAGCGTGCGTTTGTCTGAAGAATATATATATATACGCTTATACGACGGCCAATAACCAAACGACCTTGAATGTACCAATGAGAACTACAATATGAACAGCTGTCGAATCACCTAGTCGCAACACCATTACTGGTGTTTGCCTGCGCGTACGGCCCTGCGGGGTGGTGGTGTTACCTCCAGTCTCAAAGTCAGTCAGAGAAGTATTTTGTTTTTGCTACAGAAGCATTGGCCTATGAAGCGCGCTCTCCATAACTGGGTGGTCAATGGAAATCACATCAAATGAGCAAACAAGATTTAGAGTATTTCGTTCTTTTTCGTCTATACCAAGGGAATGGGAGTATTTTGTATGGTTAATAGCATCAAAAACTAAGACAGCACTTTCATCAACTTGTAAACTGTCAACAGCTGTCTCACAATGCCAAATGAAAGCCTTAGTAGAGTGTAGAGTCATTTTATGGTAAAATGTAGTCTGCGAGGTATAATTTTTTTGAATGCAGATAAGATTTGCGGCCTGAGCAAGGTATTTGAATGAGGTGACACCACTATAGTGTGGTGGATGACATTCTTTTTAAAATTTCAATGAACCTAGTAGCCTAAATGTGAGGCCACATTAAATGTGGCTCAGCCTTAGGAGTTGTTAGCTGAGCGAAATTGAATTCTTCTTTGTAAGGCCATAACAGTTGCAGACTTGCGCGCCTTTGTTCAGCACGACATTTAAGATGTTGACTTAAGGGTGGGTGATTTTAGTAATTAGCGAGCCATCTGTTTGAACTGGAGGCTTTTAGCTTCTAGGCTAGGCTTTCGTAGAGTCATCTTAACCACGGAAAATAGGGAAGATCAACATGGCTGCTATCCTGGTCGTCTGTGCTAATGTGATCTGCACATTTGTCATCAAACACACACGTGATAGCTAATCCAGTTATTACAAATGCAAAAATTAAGCTTTAATAAAACAGAGTGCGATCGGAAGTTTACCTCACTCGGCAGCATTTTTTATCACCTTAAATCATTAATATGTATTTTCATTTTGACCTATTCTATTCAAAGGTGGCAAATGATAGAAGACAATGAAGACACCATCCTCTGGT